ATAATTTGGAGTCAATGCTCGTATAACCATCAAACTAACTGACAAAATTCTAATGATGAGAGTTCCAGCTTCTGGAATGTTTTAGACTTTCTCCACCAGGATATTTGAGTTTGTCTTTTATTATTTGTGTGTAGAAGGGAGCAGTTTATTACTCACTTACAACCATGACTTCAGTACCTAACTCAGATCTTGTTATGTTATGAATGCTAAATAGTAGTGACTCAATAAGAAATACATCTGGGTATTAATAAATGGTAGGACAATCAAAATTCTTATTTTAATTTCAAGCTTTTAATCAGGCTTGTAATTGTAAGATAACCAATCAGTAACTAGTCTACTGCTGTATCTTTTATTTTGTTTTTGAGGAAGATTAGCCCTGAGCTAACTACTGCCAATCCTCCTCATTTTTTTGCTGAGGAAGACTGGCCCTGAGCTAACATTCATGCTCATCTTCCTCTACTTTATATGTGGGACTCCTACCACAGCATGGCTTTTGCCAAGTGGTGCCATGCCCACACCCAGGATCCGAATCTGCGAACCCTGGTCCACCAAGAAGCGGAACGTGTGCACTTAACTGGTGTGCCACCAGGCCAGCCCCTCTACTGCTGTATCTTTTATGATTTAACATCAAGAAATATGAAAACAAATTGAGGATATGCTAGAGTCTTCAAGAGATTTAAAGTTCTGTGTTCTTTAACAAGTGTATTATGGTTTTAATGAATATCAAGAGGAAACAACAGGGCGTTCCTGGACTTATTTCTCAAGGATAGGTATTCTCTTTTAACTTTATTTGCTTCACTTTGCAGATTTCAAGTGTTCTGCCTTTGGTAGTCATTTTGTATTATAGTACAAAATGTTTCCCTAGATTATTTTATATAGACTTTTAGTAAAGTAATCTTTATTTCAAAAGACAAGGGTGACTAATAAGATGTGGATCAAGTGTTCCAAAGGGTCATAATTCAAACCTAATCTTTTTAGAATAACGCAAAATAAAATATACGTAAGTGAAATTTAATGTTCACACACTCCCTGAGCCTAATTAGAAGACTTTGAAAATGTGAACGGAAAAATTGAGAAGTGTAAACCAATCAAAGTAAACTTTGTGAATGTTCAGAAATAAAGATTGCAAAAAATAAACGTTTAGTCAAGTAAAGATTGAAGATGAGATGTCTGTTGTTTCTCCATATAGAATCAGTTAAAATTTAAGTACAGTTAATTAAAATGTGACATTTTATCATAAACATATTCTAAATTTTATATTCCAAAGGAAGGATAAAATTGAATTGAAAAAGAAGACGTAGAATCATACAGTAATTTTGCTATAGTAATTATAATATACAAAATTATAGAATATTCAATAACATATAAAGAAATATATATGATTAATAGTACAATGAGAAATTATACAGTGGAATCTAGGAACTCATAAAAGGCTAAGTACAATGGTATACTGCAAAGTTTTAAAAACAAACATCTTTGTTATTTGACTATAGAATTTGAAACTCAAAATGAAACATTCTGCAGATTTTGTGTCTTCTGCATCTTCATGTTTACAGAAATGTCACCTATCCTCTAGGAAGATTATGTAGAAATGTAGAAACACGTTCCTTTTCCAAAATTCTAAGTCATAGAGGTGCTTTGGTTGAATATTGTATCTTTAACGTTGATTTTATTGAGAGCAAACTGACTTTTACAACAATAATAAAAATATATAGATGGGAATTATGTTTCAAGCACAAAATGCTAAGATATTTGATTGTATTTCTCCTTAAATTCTCCTGTTTTTCCAGTGCTTTAAAATAGCAACATTGAATTTAATTCCATAACTTGATATTATAAAATTAATGCATACTTTTTTAGCAATTCAAGACATGGAATGTTCTGAAGAAAAATCCAGCAGTTGTTCTTCTCATCCCACTTCCGACTCACCCACCCTCCACCTCCAAACCCGCCTTTCTAATACAGTCACTGTTAATCTGATTTATATAATTGTATATGTTTCCTTGATTATACAAACAGGTACAAACATTTTTGCACACAATATTTAATTGATATCGTATACCTGTTTTCAAGAAATAATATGTTACACTCATTTGAAAATAAACACCTATTGCCATGGCAATAGTTAGGAAAGCCTGTATTTTTGACTCAAAGAATACAATTTCCCAGTTGCATTCCCAATAATTCCTTGTAAACAGCCAGTAAGAATACTTACAATTTATTACTTCTGCATAAATGACTGCTTCTGTTAGAGAACATGAAAAATAATATATTGAAATAATAGGTATGCTGGAGCATTGAAGAAAGTTTTAGGCCAAATCTTAAAATCACAAAGGCAGAAAATAGAAAAATTAAAGCTTAGCTACTAAGGTTATCAGCATTGCATGTATTATAAAATGAAGTTTTAGCTTGAAGAGGTTGAATTGCTGAGCAATTGTATATACAGTTCTTCCAAATTCAAAGTAACTATGAAGAGAAGAATCAGCATTTCTTTAAAAAGGTACATGATTTGTGATTTAGATTTTTAAACAATAAAATGTTTATAAACTTGTTCTTTGTAGATATTAAGATAGATTTTTTTTAATGTAGCAAGTGCATGGAAAAATAATACAATTTCCAGCATTTCCTATTATTTCACTTAATGTTTTAGGGTTTCAAAATAATAACCATGCAGAATAGGGAAATCTAGTTAACATTTAAGTGTTTTGAAATGAATAAACATTCAAAAATTGTTTAGGGTATATATACATGCAGATTTTTAAAAACAATTATGTTGACAAACGTCTCACCCTCCCCAAATGAATACCTTCTTTGAAATAATACAAATGACTAGTGATAGAAATATATGTTTTCCTGATTCTGTAACTCTAAATTGACTCAAGAAATAACATTGAGAATACTTCCCTCAAAATAGATTTTATGATCTAGTAAATGTTTAAGAAGCTTCCCTATAGAAAGGGAGCATTCATGGAAATGATAAAAGCAACATAAACAAACATATGCATGCATGAATAACTAAATAAGTAACTTCAATTAATGAGTGTTTATTTAACACGTACTATCTGCCAAGTATTGAGGAATATAAAGGGTAATTTGAGGGACAAGGAAAAGAGTCTAAGCTCAAGATGCTTATCGAGATGGTGAGTATCAGATCTGGATGGAAATTAACAAAGTATTCAAGGCTTTGAAAGCCCTAATTTTGATGTAATCCTCAATCTAATGTAATGTCATTGTTAATATCACATACCACTGGGGGATGTTATGTGCATTTTTCTTTGTAGGCCTTTCAGATCTCTTTTTTGGTAATCAATCATTTTAAGGAAAAGGTCTTGTCCCAAGAACATGATACAACAGTCTCTCCCTACTACAGAAACATTACCCAGTGTATATATCAAGAAAAACATATTTGACATAAATTTGCCTTTATTTTCCAATTCTCCATATTCAGCATCTTTCCTACCCAAGCAATTGGTACTTTCTCTTTCTAATAAAGTCACTTTCAGTAAGATGTGAGAGATGACATATGCTACCCATCTCAGGGGTGTTTCTATTTTAAAAATAAGAAAACCTTAATAGTAAAGAATTGTTCCAAATAACTTTAAATTTCAGAGCAAAAAGTTCTTCAGTTTCCTATTGCAAAATTTCTACCAGTTTTGATGTAATAACCTTTCTCAACCAAATTTTGAAGTAACTTGACTGAGTCATTCCTACCAAACAAGCTTACCGAATACATGAATATATCACTAAGTGGATTTCAAGCTTTTGTGAAGTAGAAAAGAAAAAATAAGCGAAGGAAGGACTCTTTACAGAATCCCTCAAGTCAAGCTGTGAGAGCCTGCCTGCTCGACAGTGAGAGAGTGCGTCCATCTTGTTTTCTTTGGAGAGTCAAGTCATATAAAAGGGCATTCTAGTCTAACCAATGAACTCAAACTGGTTTGATGGAGACTAACCAAAGTTCAAATCTATCAAAAAAGTAGTTAAAGCAAAATGGGGAAAAAATGGTAAGTCTTCAGTACTGAATTTGTCCATGGATTGAAATACTTCACTTCATTTCCTGTTTGTATTAGACGATAATTACACTGGAGCAGGGTGTGGTTGGCCTTAGAGAGGAATGATATTAAGATCTTTCATTAACTCTATACATGGTTTGATTAAGGAAAATAATAATTAAGGAAAATATAAATCACTTTCTTTGATTACACAAACATATTCCTAGTGAAAAAAATAAGTTGTGTTGGAGTAACAGAGAGCTTATGTCTTAGCAATACAGGAATAATCGAATTAAATGTTTACAATTCTACCTTCCAATTGTTTTCTAAAATATTAAAAGGTATTTCAAGGTCATGATTGATTTCATTTTCAGGGTAGTTCCAATTATCTAAAATTTTTAATTTAGGCATATAATTAACATTTTATCAACCATATCTCTGTACTTATATTGCTCATGAGGATAGATACATGGAAAGAAAAATAGATTAATAGATACGTAGAGCGATTCTAGCATTCATTGAGCTTTCAACACCTGCTGCCCTGTGGTAGGTACCTCAGAAGGTGTGTAGCATGTAGGCAGGGCATAGAAATGATTAAAATGAAATTTCTGCTTTCAGAGAACTTTTGGTTTAATTCCAGTAATAGAAGTGTACAAATATGCAAATCATTGATGTAGGTATGGAGGAGGCAAAGATGATATAGTGTAGTTCTAATAACACAACTGAACAACCTCAGGGTCCAGATTAGAACAATGGTTTTAGAGCATGTGCCACGTTAAAATCACTTCTCAACATGTGGTTTGTGTCACTAAGTTTTACATAAACCTGAAATAGAGCTATAAAAGTGTCAAAGGTAATAAGAAATAATGAGTGGTTATAGTAGTAGTAATAATAATAGCAATCCTATATGACTCTTGCAACGAGCTAGGCTTTGTTCTAGGCGCTAGTCACAGAGTAACTCATTTAGTCCTACTCTATGGGATGAGTACCATTATTATACTCTTCTTACAGATGAAGGGACTGAGATAGAGAAGAATTAAACAACAACAACAACAAAACTTGTGCAGGATTACAATCCTGGAATTTGAACACAAGTGGTATGGTTCCAGTGTCTCTACTATCAACCACTGTTCTAGAATGCTGCTAAGTAAGATGATTGGAGCAGCCATATTTAATTTTCAGACACCTTGGATGAGCACAGGTAAATACTCTTAAATAAATACATTATTTTATAATTATGATTCACAATAACTTCATATTATTAAGTCAATTACTGTCCTATTTTCAGCACTTCCATTTTGTGTCCATTTAACTCCAGGGTTACATAAACTTTGCACATTACTTTCTTCACTTTCTTGGATATGGTTTCACTCTTCAATCATTTATTGAGAATCCACAGTATTAAAAGTGCCAGTTGTATACTGGTGAGGAAGGCAGATAGTCCCTGCCCTCAAAGAGTTCACAGTCTAGGAGAAAGCAACAAGAAAAAAATATACTTAGGGCCAGGCTGGTGGTGTAGACTCTGCTTTGTTGGCCCAGGGTTCATGGGTTTGAATCCCAGGCACAGTCCTGGCACCACTCCACTATGGCGGCATCCCACATAAAATACAGGAGGATTGGCACAGATTTTAGTTCAGGACTAGTCTTCCTCAAAAAAAAAAGAAGAAAATGGAAGATTGGCAACAGATGTTAGCTCAGGGCCAATCTTCCTCACCAAAAAAAGAAAACAAAAGGAAAAAAGTGTACTTATAAGCCAATTTGCCAAATGCAATTATAGGAGAAGTTATCAAATAAGCATGATTTATTTAGTGCTTGATTTAGTATAAAGGAATATTAGTGCTTGAGTTTTCCAAAAAAGGCAATATTTGAGCTAAGATTTGAATGCTTCTAGCATTTATTTGGATGTGGAGTGGATGGTATAGGAAAAATAGGGAGGAAGAAAGACCAGAAGGAAAAGGGCTATGAGAATTTAAAATCTTCAAAATAAGAGAGTTCATGATATATTTGAGAAATTCTGGAACGAGAAAGTACATAAGTCTCAATGATATTCCAGTGGTATAAAGTAAGGAAGTCCTTGAAAAATGATAGAGGCCTACCACAAACGACACAAGAGCCAGCTTGAATGGGCTCCACTGGCCAAATCTGAGACAATTTTGGCAACAGAATACATAATGATATTAAAGAATTATAGCTATAGAATAAAATAAGATTCCATGACTCTGTATTGATGTATACAAATGAATAAATAAATAAATGCAGAAGGGAAAACTCTTCCTTGAAGTATAATTTCAAATAATAAATGTAGAAAGCATAATGGAATTTTAAAAATCATTATTAGAAAGTGCCATAACAATACTCGGTTCAGGCAAGATTCATCAATGGACATTGCATTTAATGAACAAAAATATCATGGTAAGATATTTACATATTCTCAAAGTAGTTCTCTATAAATTATCTATCAATTCAAAGAGAAAAATAGAGAAGCCTGACGACAGCACCTTAATACAGTGAGCAGTGTGTACGTCACCTGCAGTGGGACAAATCGATATTGTATGTCTCCTGACATGGTACTCCTTGAGGGATATAACATCACTTCTGTGCTATTTCTGCCAAAAATCCATAACCTGTATCAAATCAAGGTGAAACATCAGACATCCAAAATGAGGGACATTGTACAAAATGACTAGTCTATACTTTAAAAAAGTATCAAGGTCATGAAGGATACCTAAGGAATAGTTCCAGATTAAGGCAGAATGAAGAGACGTGATAACTATGTATCAGGTGTGATTCTAGTTTGAATTCTGGACTAGATCACTGTTCTTTTTCCTTCCTTTTTCTTTTGCCATATAGGATATTAGTTAAATAATTCTTGGTATTTGAATAAGATTTGTATTGCATCTTGATTTGATAATTATATTGAGTTAGATAGGAGAATGCCGTTGCTTTTAGGAAACACATTTTGAAGTATTTACAAGTAAAGTGGCATTGTGCTTAAAACTCATTTTCAAGCATTTCAGGGAAAAACTAGAGAGAGAGAATGATAAAGCAAATGGCAAAGGTTAACGTTTGGGGAACCTCGAAAAGGGATAAACAGAAAGTCTTAAGGCAAATTTGCTTTGCTTTTTTGTAACTCTAAAATTGTATCAAGATTAGTAGCTATTGTTTACAGTAAGCATCAGCTCTAGCCTTAAACTAATGCCTGTAAGGTTGCTTGCAATGCCAAAGTCTTGTGTTATTTCCCATTAAAGGAAAATGAAACATTTCTTACATATGAAAATCCTGTAATCCCTTATTTTCCTTTTGCTGCCTATTTTTCACCATGAAAGCTTTATGAATACAACATGTGTAAAGTATTTCATGGTTTTGATAAAGGAAAGCAAATATAATAAATTATATATTTCTCATATATACCTTGTACATATTTTACACATACATTTCATGCATAATTATATGTATTACATATATGTATATATTGTGTCCAAAAATTGTGCATGCTCACACACACATACTTCTTAGCCAGGTGAAAACAGAAAAATCTAAAAGAATGCCTAATTTAGGGAATATATAATTAATTATTACAAGAAAATAGTGGATATACAACAATTGTAGTTGATTGATTTTCAAGAGAGAACAGTAAAAAAAAGAGTGTAAAGAACATCCATCATTAATGAGCCATAGTTCATTATTAAAGCAAAACAGATCTTAGAGACTCACAGCTTGGGTTTCTGTGACCATTTTGAGCAGGGTAATAACCTTCTTTGAAAACCAGTTGTCTTACATTCCTCCTCTCCTTTAATAAAACAGTATGCTGTATTAGAATAAGAATGCTAGAATTTGTGCTCAAAGTATTAGACTACAATTTAATATGTACCAAATGCAAGTCCAGGAAAATAAGAATGTACAGTCTTATACACTGCAAATCTCTCTGTAGGAACAGAAGAGTCTATCAAAGATATTTCATGTTGTATGTGCCTAGGGTGCTACTTTTCCAGGCCAGTTGAATATTTTGAGAACTTAAGAGTATAACATGAATTAGAAAAAAAGGAAGGGATGTAGAATTTTTTCCTGAAACATATACATTATTTTAAGTGCCCACATTCCTCTAGAGCACCACAACATTTAAGATGCTAATTGCTGTTTTCATCTCAGCTTGGATTACATATTAAAAGCAACATTTTAAAAAAAGTTGATGAATATTGATGATATGAATCAATTATGACATGAATATGATAAAAAATCAGTGTAATTGAGTGTATGTGTATGTGTGTACATGGGTGCGTACATGCGTGTGTGCTGCATATCTTTGATTCAGTTTAAAATAAAATGATTTATTGGAAAGAATAACTTTTTGCAAGTTAATGTCTATCTTGAACTACTCATATTTGGATGTAATATTGAAAAACAAAACTCAAGCCATGTCCAAGACAAAAGATGGATAGATAGTAGATACAGGCATTGATATATTCTTTCGCATTCAAGGAATCTATCCAAACTTTATAGGGTTTTAAAAATTGTGAAAATATGGTATGCTCAATTACATAGTCCAAGGATATCATCTAAAAGTTAAAATAAAATAAGTTATATAATGATGAATGTATATGAAAATCTCCTGAAGAAATTATGCCCTGCTCTGCAGGGAAACAGAAAAACAATGATCCCTAACTTTAATCACCTCCATTCTAGTGCAATAGCAGTATACTGGATTAGTATAAGCACACAGCCCTCTCCTTTAATTCACCTATAATACTGAGTACTGATTTACCAACCTATTGTCTAATAGAAGTCAGAGTTTGCGTCTTGTAAGTGAAGGTTATATATAAGATAAGGTGGGATAGGTGGGTGTAGGGGGTGAAAACCTATGAAGGATGTGAGAATTGCTGATGTAGAACTTTCAACTAAAGAATTCACAGCCTATCTTGGATACACCATTTAACTTGCCCATTTGCTTGAGTATCTTAGACCTCATCTCACAATTGCCTTGCCCCTACTCTTTATTTGTGGGGTTTTGGGGCAAATCACGTAACCTCTCTTCACCGCAGTTTTTGCATCAATGAATTGGGGTAAAAATGGTTTTCAGTCTCATGAGGAGATAATTCTAATTCACAATACAGAAAATGTACTGAGAAGGATATTGGCACATAATTCGTCTTTCTTCTCACCTAACACATAGACAATAAATGTGTATGTGCACACACACAAACGCATGCACATACACCCCAAGGTGATTTCTGTTCTTAAACTTATAAAATAATGCTTACTAATGATTATTTTTATCTCTGTTAGTGCATATCACTTAAACACATCACTTACAAGCCATATTCATATTCCTGTAAGTGCGTAAGTAGAAATGATCAAATAAAGGGACTAGTTATGCCTGGAGGGGGGAGTTCAGGAGGGAGACCTCAGATTTTCTCTTGGATTCCAGACTAAAAGAAAACACTAATTATAGGATTGCAAAAAATAAAAACATTCTGTGAGTAGGCATTATCTGTAATGAATTAATTGCTTGAACAATAAGCACAGTATCCAGCTTTGATGCATTGGCAAATGGCTTGAATAAGCACTGAGAAAACTAAATGGAAAGCAACCTGAAAAGAATACAGGAACTCAAAGCCACGAACACCTGTTAACTACTCTGAGTATCTTCAATGCTGATTATGTCATTTGGTTTGGCACCATTTGAATGCATGGCGTTGAAATAGTTTCCTGCCAAGCGATCTAGTTAAATGAGCGTACTGTGTTTTCTATCCCAATTAGAAGCAAAGAGTTGGTGGCATTTATGTATCCTTATGGAGCACTTCCTTTTTTACTTAAATATCTAAAATTGAACCCTGTCTTTCTCTAGTCAAAAAACCGTCAAACACAGTATCTTAAGCCAACACCTTTGCTTTATTTTCTCCTCTGACCACCTGTCTGACTTATTTTCTTATTATTGACTACTTGTTAATTCAATTAAGGAGGATTGTTAGCAGTGCAGCCCAGGAACACTTGGTTCTATTTAAAACAAAAGCCTACTGTTGAATTCAGTGTCAGAGCTGAGGTTTATAGCATTGAAGAATTGCCTTGATAAATGGCCCTGACATTACAGTTTCCACGACTCCACCTTCAATGTCATCACAACACAGCGTAAGTGTTAAAGTATGGCCATGCTGCCTCCCCAAAACATATTAACTTGATGCTTACTCTATCTCTGGATCCCATAGGCACAATAAATGGAGAAAATAACACATTTACAAACTGATAAAACCCAGCAAAGCTAATAAAATCAGACACTTTATAGCTCGGCTAATCGTGTCCTTTGAAGGGCATCAAATAACACATCATGTATTGCTCAGGGGGAAATCAAATTAGGTGCAGCAATGTCCCTTCAGAACTAACACATTTGAATAGACAGGAGCTATTGCAGCTAATCAACTCGTTTTGTAGACACTTTATCATTAATACAATATTTATATGAACTGGGCATTATGGAGCTTTGGCATGCAAAGGAAGAAAAGTATGCTTTAAACTGTTGCTGCTTGGTTTGCACTCTGAATCTTTCTGTTTTGATTTTATTTTTAATAAATGTGTGCCACAATGTGGTATGCACCCCTGAAAATGGTGTTCAGAAATCAGTTAGCCTATAAGGAATTGACCAAGTTACTCAGTTTTCAGAGACACCCTTCCTTCCATTTGCCCCTCTTCATATCCCTGACTCTAAATGAGACCCATATCATTGGCTTAGGAAAACGCAAAGGAATGTTCATAGCAAATAGAACCATGTACCTTGACCCAGAATGTTTAGCTCTGTCTTAAACCAACGTCTATGAAAGGAAAGCGTCTATATTCTATCTTCTCCAAATTCTTGAATTCAGAGTTAATGTACTTTTATTATGTGCAGAAGAGTTCCAAATGGTTTATGTAGATACTCTGCCCTTAAGGAATTGGGACATTTACTTTCCATTCCTTAAATATGAGCCGGGCATAGAAACTTCCTCCCGAAGAGTACAGTATGGGAAGCAGGAAAAAAAAGAGTAACTTTACAGTGAGAAACGCAACAAACACTACCTCATCCAGCTGATGAAGGTCAGTAGCAACAGTGCTAAGTCATGTTGATAGTATGTACCCTTGATATGATGTGATGAAAGTGACATTTCATGTCTATGGGCTTCTTCTAAAAAACTTACAAGCCCAGTCTAATCATGAGGAAAACATCAGACAAATCCAAATTTGGGAACATTCTGCAAAGTACCTGACCAGTACTGCTCAAAACTGTTCTCATTACAAACAAGGGAAGTCTGAGAAACTCTCACAATCATGAGGAGCCCATGGAGACATGACAGCTAAATGTAATGTAGTATCCTGGCTGAGATCGTGGAACGGAAAAAGGATGAGTTTAGAAGTTAGGAAATCTGAATAAAGTGTAGACTTTACTTAGTAATAAGTCTATCGATAGTAGTTCATTAATTACAACATTTATTCCATACCAATGTACGATGCTAATAAGAGGGAAACTGGGTGTAGCGTATATGGGAACTCTGTACTATCTTTGTAGTTTTTCTGTAACTCTGTTGCTAAAATTAAGAGTTTGTTTTTTAAATGTCTTGGAACTATATTATAATATTTGATCCTTTTCTGTCTCCAGATCTTTTCTATGACTTCAAACCCATTAAAAACTCAAATCTCTCATACATAAGGAAGATTATAAAGAAAGCACAAATCAAGGAATGGCACAAGTCTCAATCAATGAATAATATGAAGTTCCTTCATAAAAATGCTTAACTATTGTAAACACTGTAAACAAAAATTAATTGCATGTAGATTACTGCAAACCTGGACTCCGGAATAAATTTTACTTTCTGTAATACTGTTCTGATATGTTCACTACCAAGTAGCTGCTAACAGGCTTCAGTGACTTGGCCAACTCCTCACAATTATTTCCTAAGCACCAGTCACCCTTGAGGAACTATATCTTACTGGAGGATAGAGAGGGAAGTGACTGAAATTCTCCATTCATTTTGTTTCCCTTTTTCCTCTCTTTCCTGCACTTCTGTTTAGCCTCTACACTTCTCTTCTCAGCACTAGAGAGTTGCAGCCCCGTGACTCTAGTTGGGGGAGGGATAAAGTTATACCTGTATTCTTTAGTATAATTTCCTCTCTAGGAAGTCAGTAGAACATTGGGATCATTGGAAATGCATATGTCAAGATTACAAAATTCATTTATTAAAGTATGTTACCTGTTAGTCTGAGGCATCAGAAAGAGTATGGGAGAAAGCTGATTTGTTGTTTTACACTTTCATGCTGCTTTTAAGTTTACAAAATGTATTTATATGCATATTTCTGGCAACTTTTCCATTAGAAGTGCACAGCCAATGTAGATCAGGCTTCAAGTTGTGCATCTGTCATTTTTTTTCTAGCTATGTGATATTTTGAAAGTTGCTAGAACAATTTATTTCAATTTTCTCAACTTCAAAATAAAGATATTAATGATATTACTAATTGTATCATTACGTCATCATGATATAGTGAAAGTCTACTTTCTGACACCTAGTAAATGGCCGATAGATGATAGCTGTAAGTAATGATGATAGTACTATAGTTATTATCTTCATTCCTTGGGTAGCCAATTGTGATTCAATCATACAACTAGCAAATGGCAGTATTAAGGTTGAGCTCTTACCTTTGGAATATTTTTATTCATGCATTTACTTATGCAAGCAGTATTTATTTATGACCTATTATCAGCCACTGTTGTAGGTCCTGAAGCTTACATTCAGGTAAAAACAGAGGGAACAATAAAAAGGAATGACAAAATATATAATAGTTTAGAAAGTGATGTGTGTGAGAAGAATGACAGGGACTATGGGAAGCACGGAAGAAATATTTTGGCACCAGAGTTACTAGTAAACTGAGCTGGCTCAACAGGAGTGAAGACACACGAGACCAATATAGAGAATATAGAACTTTTTTTATTATTAAAGTCCCTTGCATCTTTCATATCTATGTCTTAGTATTTAAAATATTTTCTTACTATAACCACGCTTCTGCTATAGATAGAAAGCTCTGTCTGTCTACTTTAAAATTTCAGAGATGACGTCACAGAAAATGGGATGGTCATTAGAATGCAAGTCTGTGCTAGTAGAGACGTAGTTGTATTCTTTCTTTTTTTTTCCTAGAAATTACATAACACCCTTTATTTCAAGTAATAGACAACCTTCTTTGAATAATTTTGTTTTTATGCTCTGAAACGTTTTTCTGCTGTAACCTTGTCTAGTTCATAGATGGTAACATAAAATAAACATCTAAATTATTCAAAAGCAAGAGGTGAATATTATTATTTCAAAGGTAGTTAACCATTGGAGGAAAAAGGAGAGGAGAAAAATGGCAAGTAGCCCCTTACATAGATTTTTAAAGTATGTTGTATGTGAAAAGAAGCATGTGATTAATTTCCAGAAGCTGGTTCCTGCTGGTTTCAGCAGCTTTGGAAATCTATCAGATCTAGACCTACTAGCATAAAATTTAAAAATAAATTAAAAATTCAAATGTTGCATTTTCGATCAATCAACCATCGTGGATTATGTTAGTAAAGATTTTGCCTCTGCTCGCTATACCACTAACCACAAATTTAGAATGTATAGTCTAAGCAGGAATGTTGTCCAGAAAGGGAAATAATAATTTTGGCATCAATGATGCCCTAATTTCACAGATTTGTATTAGCCTCCTTTCTCTGAGAGCATCGTCCCCAATTCCTTACGACAGATTACAAGAAGAAAGCAGAACTCGATTCCAGGATATAGGAAAGTATAGATTTCTCAGGAGGAGATTCTTGAAATGATTATATTTCCCTCAAAAAACGGAATTTTTACCATATAAGATCCATTATTTTCAGTTTGAAGTCTACTGAGAATCAGAGAGAAAAGCATCCACAAAATTCAAACAATTATTAATACTATCTTCTTACATGTGCTTCTAAAATGAATTAGGTTTATTTTTCACACAAACATGTAATGGCTCTTGCTTCTCCCCTCGTAACTAAGGTATTGTCATGTCATTTCTCTTAGCAACTCAGTGGACATCACGTGAGGTTAAAATCAAGTCAATTAATCACAATCTTCAGCTGGTTACAGAGACGGGGAGTTTCTGCTTGCCAGAACACCTGCGCTCCTCAAATGGCCTTGGTGCTTAATTGTTTCCAGGTGCAGCACATGCTTGTTTGGGGCTAACTCAGAACTGTGAATTTCTGCTGCCAGAGGACACACTTTGGAAGTTGGAGTTAACTGGTAAGAGAGTTAACCCTCAGTTAGAAGCGTACATGCTGCTGATCTTTAAAATGGAAAATTGCAGAATATTCTTTAATGTTCACTTAAGAAGCAGCTTTTTCTTCTTTAACAGATCCTAGCCTTACAAACCTCAGTGATACATTTATTTGTCTTGGTGATAATTTTGTGAATTGACTCTATAAATCTTTATTGAACACCCTCTAAGTTTCAGGTACTTGAAATATAGCTGTGAGCAAAACAAAGATCCTTCATGGAGATTTTCTCCTACTGAGAGACATTTCTGTATTTTTCCTTCCTTCCTTCCTTCCTTCCTCTTTCTTCTCTTTCTTTTTTCCCTACTTTGGTTTGTCCTTAAGTAGGGCAAACATCTCTTTCAGAGTCTAGTATCTAGTAAATGATCACACCTAGCTTTATGCCAGCTTTGGAGCTTGGAAGTGAGTAGATAGTTCAGTCTTGCTCTGCACATTAACTTAGCTCCAGGTCAGGGTACCAGAGATTAAGAAACCCTAGTTTTGAACCTGGTCTCCTTTATATTTTCTTATCTAGTTTTACCAGAACTAATGCTCATACTCTGTTTTAATAGCCATCTTATATTTATTTCCCAATTCATTAGGATTTTGGAAGGAAAATGGATCATCATTAACTAATGTAGCCCGTTCCCATTGTGCTCCACTTTCTTCTGGAAAATATTAGGCAAATTATATTTATATTTCAGAGGGTCAGGGTTTATACCCTTCTCCAGTGAAGAATGTGTGGTTCCTACGTCAAAGCAACATGTCACCAACAGAACCTTTGGAGAAATTTTGAGTTCAATGTCCTTTGTTTCAATTTTGTCATGCAGTGGGTTTTGCTAGGATATATCCTCTGAGGGTAGGTACAACGAGGAAAAGGAACTGAGATCTAGGCAGTCATGGAGTCCACATGACCAACATTCATGAGCAGGATTGCTGATAAAGATTCTGGTTTCTTTGCTCATCTATTTTTCTTTTTTATTTCTTGCTGGGTGAGTATGTGCCATCTAGCTTGTTTATGCTTAGAAAAAGATCAGAAACCTGGAAGTAAATCGTGTCTCCGATTAAGTCAGAAGCATTCATCATAGGATTACTTTCCCGTTGGTTAAAAATCTTCATTTATTCTCTAACTGTTCTTCCCTTCTGCTAGTTCTGTGTGAATTAGGACATGAGAAAGAATGATGGTGCAGGCTAATTACACCTTATTGTGAGGTTAAAAACCAATTAATCACTAACTACATTGGTATGAACCCATGATTATCTCAACAACTCTTTTAAATACTTGAAAAAATAGTTGATATTATTATGATTGTTGTTTTAAGTGGCATGTCAAAGCTGACTGTTTATGAGTTACTTTCAAAAGGGCATGGAGCTGTCTGTCAGGCAGATTAGTTTCTGTTATTTTTTAATGTACTTTTCTTCCTAGTATATCTTATTTTTTTACTGTTTATTCCATTTTCAGTTCTGAAATATGTTCATATTTAACAAACTGATTATTTCTTAGAGATTTACCCAAGTCATTTATATCTCTTCCTCTGCCTCTTTTTATACCATGTCATTTCTCTATGCTGGCACTCTCCAAATTCTGTTTCACAGAACACTAGTGTCTTGTGGATATTAACTGCTATTACTCCAAAAGGGAACTAGTGCCCTACCAGAAATTATGTTCATTCTGGTTTTTAATAGATATCTGATATTTATTTCCCAATTAACTAGGTCGTTGGAAGGACAATAAGTGACATAAACACTGTTGGTTGTATATTCATGCGCCATCCTCCCTTCTATACTCACAGAACTCTGGATTTTCCCCAAATGTCTACTCGGATTTCCTAAATGTGTCAAACATATTTCAGGAGAGGCTTATCCCAGATTGGTCTAATGCAATCATGCTGTTCGTGTTCTCATTGCTTAGCCATCATTGTGTGATAAAATTCTGACAGCGATGAATGAGGAGAAATGTATTCTTGCCTCTAAGACACAGAGGAAAAGATGATCTCTTTCTGCCTTTGAATTTATCTGAGTTCTGATAACTTATCTGAGTCATATCTGAGTATCATTTTTACAATTGATACAACTCTTTAAAATGAGTTTACACATTTTATATATTAATATAGGTGACTCTTTCAAGGACTGCTGGCTACAAGGAAAACAAAGGAGTGGTTGGAAGTTTACAAGAAAAGTGAAGAAGATGGAAGAAAAATTTTGGGTGCTGATAAAAAAGATCCAGTAGAGAGGAAAATTAATGGCACAGAAGAGAGTTGGGGGTGATATTCTGAACAAGTAGGCAGGGCTAAGAGCTAGGGAACAAATAGAAAGATGGATTTAGATAGGATCACAGGTAATCCATGTGTATTGTCAGGCGGTAGAAAAAGATTTGTGGGTCTGGATGGAGGTAGGTGAGAACATATAGTGATGGGAATCTTGAAAGCTTTCTTCTAATTGTTTCAATTTCTGAAGTATATTCGTATATTTTCATAATTTGTTCAAAATCACATCACTAACAAAGAGAGGAAACATTCAAACTCAGGAATTTATTCATACGTTTTTATTATAAATATCATAGAGTCTGAGAGTAGGCAGATGTTACAGACCATGTTGCTATGGCAAGATCCAAGAATACCTCCTTTTAACAGAACCTCCATTATTTTGTGGTGCAAATATGAACGAATCTAGGCATTTGATCATAATTGATCTAAAACAATTATAACAATTCTCTTCCTCCCTTTCCCAGCATTTCTTGTAGATATGGGTGGTCCAGTTCTGAACAATGGAGTACAAGTTTGTTACAGATGTCTCTGGAAAAATGTTTCCTTCCCCATTAAAAGAGACCAATGTGATCAGCAGTATCCCTGTCTTACATTCTCCCCTTATATGTGCACTGAACACTTACGATGGCTGGAGCTATAGCAGCCATCTTGCTACAAAAGAAAGTGAAAGAAAAAAAAAAGGCTGTAGTGCTTCTAGGTTGGTGGATTAGAAAAGAAGATAGAGCCTAGATTCCTAATGGCATCGTAGGACAGCTGAACTACTTGTAGACAAATAAATGGAAATTTGATTAAGTTACTGTTATTTAAATTCTTGCTGTGTAATGTAGTTCTAAATGATATGGCTAGAATTCCATCATTCTTTAAACTTCTGGAAAAAATAAAAAGAACCTAAAGCTATCAGTTATGATAGAATTCTCAAAATACAGATATTAATTATGAAACTACTGATCTCATGATTCTGCTGTGTTCTGAGAAATGCAAAATTAGTTGTAAATTTTTAATCAGATAGAAAATAAATCTTACCACTAAATGTTTAAGTAATGCTTGCCCCCGGTCATTTAGAAATGTTATTACTTTCATGTACCACTAGCATAGTATATTTTAAAATTCTTAAACAAAATTAACTTTGTATTTGCTTGAATTACGAGAAATTAGACATCAAATTGAAAGTAAAAGTTTGAAAAATAAGACATGTATCTAAATGAAACCCATTTTTTTCAATGGAAAATTTCTCTTAATGCCACTTTATAGAATTACGTAGATCAACTGGCATGTCAGGAAAAAGCATTTCCAAGCATTTTTTTTTTTTTAGGAAGATTAGCCCTGAGCTAACATCTACCACCAATCTTCCTCCTCTTTTTGCTGAAGAAGACTGGCCCTGAGCTAACATCTGTGCCCATCTTCCTCTACTTTATATGTGGGACGCCTACCACAGTATGGCTTGCTTGACAAGGGGTGTGGAGGTCGGCATCCGGGATCTGAACGAGTGAACGCCAGGCCGCCAAAGTGAACTTAAACACTGTGCCGCCTGGAAGGCCCCTCCAAGCATATTTTGATAGAAGATTTTATGATATGAAATTGAAAAATAATTAAAAAATTGATGCTGGCAGAATGAAAAGAAGAAAGATCCTGAGTGCTTCCTGGTTCTGTTGCTCCATTGAATTATCTGCTTCAGAAGGTCCTTTATTTATGATTCCTTGTTAGGAGAGATGGTTAAGTGGCCAAATTGGTTAAACCACTTTGGGTGGCATTCCTATTCTTGAGAAAGTGTCCTAGCAAAGACCCCTGGGAAACACTGGACTTACCAATATTCAGGAATCTTGTTTGTTTGGAGGGTTCATTTTAGTTTGCTTTCTGGGTTTTGTTTACTGCAGACCCGCACTAAGCCTTTAACATGCTAAGGTACATATGGAATTCCCTAAGCAAAGAAGAAAGCAGGTAGCGTTTTGTAAATTGATTTGATCATGGAATAGTTATCTTAGAAGCTGTTCTCCCCACAGACGCTCCCTAAAGCACATATTAAATGGATTCTAGCATTCACAGAAGTAACATTCCAGCCCAGAAACACGAGAAAGGGAAAGAACCCAAAGCATCTGAAAACCCAGACTTGGGTTTAAAACTTCTCTTCCACTGTTAGCCGTGTAGCTTTAGCCAAGTGACCTGACTTTTCTGAGGCTCTATTTCTCTGTCTGTAAACTGGGGGAAACAATAGTACCTATATAAGAATACTACTGGGAGACTTTAAATGTTGAAATTTACTGAGTATGTGGAACATACTGAGTACTCAATCAGTGATATTTACAGTGGTTGTTTTACTATCAGCAATGTTAATGGATATTATTAAAGTGATGCTTTGATATTATATATTTCATTTATCTGTGCTATCCCTGACCCTGAGGGGGCAATAAATGACTCCTGCTATTTCCGATAACTATTTTGCTGATGTAGTATATTATAAATCTGAGATTTATTGAACCTATGGCAGGACAGGAATAAACAATGAATAAAGTTCAAAAGTTAGCTTTTTCTGAATTATCCAAGTGGTAAGAGTTATAAGTTCCTAGGAAATTCTACCTTATTCACAAAATATTCACATATAATTATAGCGAAAATAATCTTCTTTTGCTGAATCCCGGAGAGTTTTTTCTGTGCCTTGCTTAGGTCACTTGTCCACTTATTGTATTTTGATATTCATGGAATATCTTGTATCCTACGATACCATGGGCACTTTTGGGAATAAGCATTCTGTTTTGAATACAATCACGTGCCGCATAATGACACTTTCGTGTGAAATAATGAGATTTCAGTCAACAATGGGCCAAAATATACAATGGTGGTCCCATAAGATTACTACCATATAGCCTAGCTGTGTAGTAGGTTTGTGTAAGTACACCCTATGATGTCTGCACAACCACAGAATCACCTCAGGACACATTTCTCAGAACGTATCCCTGTCGTTAAGGAAGGCTTGTATTATCTTATCCTCCCATTCCATTCCCCAGTGTCCTCTGCAGAGCAGGCATTCAAAAGATGTGTTCTAAAAGAATTGAAATAAAGAGCACTAAATCCTAATAATATTGACTTTATCAACAATAAAGCAGTTAAACCTACTGTATCCACTCACAGCAGTCTTATCATGACAAATTAAGATATAAATGTGAAAAGTGAATTGGGGAAAAATGTTCAAAGCAAATGTAGAAGTTAAAGTAGAATTATCCTGTACATTTATTTCAAGGCGTCAGATTCTTACTTTTTTATGTAATGGGTTTTATAACTTTCAAGGACAAAGATGCAGTAAGATCATAGTGTTGAATAATGCTGGAGTCAGCCATCAAACACAATTGTATAATCCATAGCAAACCTTAAGCTTTCGAATGAATCAGAAAAAAGACAATTTTTGCAGCTTCTTTCCTCTATCTTTCATCATCTCTTCTCCTTGCTTTTGTCTTATTTCAAAGCCTAAGTGGATCAAAAGGAAAAACAAATGTGTATTTTGTCCTCACCATTATGGGCCTTTTATAAAGCCTTTAATTAGCTTCTCCTAAACAGAACAATTGTATCTATAAAATATGTGATCCTTTACTTCTCTAACTTTAAGTGGACAATGGGAATGGAATAGAGTCGCTTCACTAGCCTCTTCTCCACACAGCTTAATAAATGCATATTCACTTAAGTACAAAATGCATACATATTTTAATGATGTATTACAAGAGCTTGAGAATTATTGTTTTAAACTTTCCTTGGATATTTGTCCACTTCTAAAAACAGTTATTACTTCTCTTTTTATATTTTCAAACTACTATGAAGCAGAATTGAGAAAATATTAACCCCACCTCCCACTTGTTTTTGGAGAATCAGAGGAAAAGTTAACTTAATTGGTGCCATAGAGTGAAGGATAGCATATTCACATTAAAATGAAATCAATCAAGTGCTACTATTTCCACTCACACATACACAAAGTGTTGACAAAGATTCACTTTTCTAGGCAGAGTATTTGGATCTATGGTTAATGGTAAGTCATAAATAAACTGTAGTGTAGTATATTGGTTAGCAGTTAATAATTAATTAATTGGTTAGCAGTTAATATATCCAAAATATATTTTCTTGAGTATTTCCTTCCTTTCTATTCTCATAATAATTCAAGAACATTTTTTACTGATGATTTATTTCTAATTACTTAGAAGTAATAGAGGTCTTACTATAATTTATTTCTATAAGATATTCTGTATATGAGAAAATACCAAGTTCCAGAAAATTCAAAGAACCACTTGATCAGTGGGTGCAGGTTTCAAAAATATAAATCAATATATCCCTAATTTAATAGTTTACCTAATATATAGCTTCTATTTTGCAAGAGCAAGAATTTATCATTTTTATTTCCTCTAGGGGAAAAAAAACGACTGAAATAACGAACACAAAGTTCAACAAAAAAGGTATCTTTAGAATATCATTTAATGTCATTGATATATTTGTGATCAATAAGTGGAAGCATGACCAGCAGCAAAAAAACAGAATAGAAAAATAGCCATCCAATGACCTGGATTCATAGTACTGTGTTAGAGGCTGTGCACAGGTATGTTAAAAAATAATGTGACCTCTGATTATTTTTCTGTTATGTCAGTCTCATTCTAGTAAGAAACTGAAGATCCAATTTATCCTAAGCAAATTTAGTACTTTCAGTTTACAGAATTGTTACTATCATTGCATTAAATAAGTCCTTACCATAACACTACTTTATTTCAAGACTTACTATAATAAATAATAATTATTATAGTTTATATGTACATATTTAAGCTAAAACTATAAAACTTCCAAGCAGGAGTATTAACAGAAAATGTTCATTAACTTAGGATAGGCAGACATTCCTTATATAGTATGTAGAAAGTGTGCGGAGAACAAAAATCATAAAAAACTTGATAAATTTTATGTTATCGAAATTTAAAAGCCTGATCTTCTAAAGACACAGTTAAGAAAATAAAAAATATAAGCAAAGACTAAGAGAAAATGTTTATAATACATATATGTACATATATATATACACACATAAATACATATATTTATACATATATATATGTGACTGATATGGACTAAACTCTGTCCCCCCAAATTCACGTGTTGAAGCTCTAACTCTCAATACGACTGCATTTGGAGATAGGTCCTATAAGGGGGTAATGAAGGTCAAGTGAGGTTGTAGGGTTGAGGCCCTGATCCAAGAGGATTAGTGTCCATATAAGAAGAGACACCAGAAAGCTCACTCTCTCTCTCTGCCCTATGAAGAGACAGCGACAAGGCAGCTGTCTGTGAGCCAGGAAGTGAACCATTACCAGGAATCCAATCAGCCAGCACCTTGATCTTGGGCTTCCCAGCCTCCATATTTGTGAGACAATAATTTCTGTAGTTGAAGCCACGTAGTTTGTGGCATTTTTTTATGACAGCCTGAGCTGACTAATACAGATGACAAAGGGTTTACATTCAGAATAAAGACCCTGACAACTCAATAAGAAAAGCAGCCCTGAAAATGGGTGAAAAGTTTGAACAGACACTTAATTAAAAAAGAAATACAGATGTCTCACTAGCACATGAAAAGATATTGAACATGATTAGTTATGGAAATACAAACTAATACCACAATGAGATACCAATAAATAACAACTAGAAAGACTTTAATTAACAGTACCAAGTGATAGAGAAAAGCATAACTTTAGCTTCTTTCAATGCTTGTGAGACTTTAAATGATACAGCCACTTTGGAAAATGTTTGACAATTTCTCGTAGAGTTGATTATACACTTACCTATTGATTATATACTATGATTTTATACTTATATACATGACTAAGCAATTCCACTCCTAGAAATTTATCCAAGGGAGATGAAAACATATGTGAGTGGAAAAACTTATATGTGAATGTTCATGGCAACTTTATTCATAAGAGCCAAAAGCTAGAAATAATGTAAGTTTGTATCAATAGGTGTATCAACAGATAAATAAAATATGCTATCTCCACAGAATATTGTATCAATAGGTGTATCAACAGATAAATAAAATATGCTATCTCCACAGAATATAATATAGTTAATGATAAAAAGGAATAAACTATCAATGCATAAAAACTACATGGATAAAACTCAGAAACATTGTGAAGGGAGAAAAAATCAGGCCCAGAAAGTGTACGTACTATGTGAGTCCATGCACATGAGATTCTAGAAATGGAAAAGCTAAATTATCATGGTAGAAAAAAGATCGGTGATTTTTTTGGTGTGCTGTGAAGGTGCAAGTGCTGATTGAAAAAGGGCATAGATGAACTGTGGCGTGACTGAAATATTCAATATCTTGACTTGGTGGTATTTACAATGTGTGTATATTTGTCATATTTCAGTGAACTTTTATGTAGGTGATTTTATTGTTTGTAAATTATGCCTCAATAAATTATTTTTTGAAAGAGGAAATGTGTTGTGAAGCATATATGTATTTGATTTGCATTTGCAACTATTGTCTCTGTTAACCCATGAGAAACTGCAAACACTGGCTGCTTCTGTAGAGGGCAGCTGTTTTGAGAGGGTCATTTCATGGTGTTCCTTAGTATATCTTTTGAATTTTGAATCAAGTAAATGTGTTACCTACTGAAAGAAAATTACGCTTTTTCTTTGTATCCCAGAACCTAGCACGGTTCCTGGAACAGGGTAGGCATCCAGTAAATGTATATTTAATTAAAACTAAGACCATGAACTGAATTATGACTCATAGTTTTCCACATATTTAACATATATTATAGAGATAACTTTCAAAATATCTCAGAAGAAAATGATTTACTGGATAGTATTTCAAGCAAGTAATATTTTAGGATAATAACAGGAGGAAATTTTGGCAAATATCATTTCTTCTTTCTGTATGATACAAACTGGTTCAAAAGGGTCAGTGGTGATGAATCTTAATACAATGAAAATCTTTAAAACATTGACATAGCTTCTAGCTGAACAGAAGCTCTTAGAGTCAATAAAACAGAACATCTACTTAAAGCAAGAATACATCAGATGGTGATAAAGATAGATTTTATTTTCATAGAAATTTGTAATAAAATGGAAAACCACTATGTAGAATTTGTTGACAGCATTTCCGAGTGCTAGTGAATTTATTTCCTCCCTTAAGGTACTTGTTTTTATTTTGTTCTTTTATTTTCATTTTCTTCTTTGATTATAGAGACATTTATTAAGTATCTAGTATGTATGAAGGCACTTTTACATCAATAGAAAATTATCTTATGCCTATAGTTACAGTTGTTGGTAAATCAAATGACACTAGTAAGAAATTTCATAGAGTCACGTGTCACTTAACGATGGAGTATGTACTGAGAATTGCACTGT